CATGGTGTTAGCATGGGATTATATTATTGGCTTGCCATCTTATGACGGGTGGCCACATTCAACAGACTCCATGATTGTTTTCTGTTCTTTGTCTGCCCAGAAATAAATAATTTTAAGACCATACACGCAAGACTTTTTCTCTTGGCATTATTTCAACGTGTTTCTGTGGTTCATTGTCACGACATAGGCCTATTATTAAAAAAAAGAAAAAAACTTTATTCTGAAAGTGTGGCTGCTATGATTTTTTGCCATGGCGATGCGCCACGATCAATTACATGTAGGGGAAACCCTGGTACCCCCTGGCCAAGAAAAAAAAAACTTTTAAAAACTCTTATCCCCACTGCAACCGGCCTTTTAAACAAAGGAAAAAGTTGTGGGTTTGCAGATGGTTATAGTTAGTATGTGGTTTTATGAGTTGGTAGGTTTTTTGGTATTTTATGATTGGTGTTTTATWATGTGTTTTAATGTATCTGAGCCTCTATCCTAAATCAAACACAATTTTCTAATACAAAGTGTGACAGAATGATTTTTTGAATCTTTGAATCTTGAAATGAGACCAGTGTGAACAGAGACACCAAGACTTATCAGGGTGTTTGATTAAAAAGAACAACAGCAACAATAAAAACCAACGTATATCACAGTCGCTGTAAAGTATCATTTTTGAGGCTTRCAGTTTAAAATGTATGGGAGCAGAGGAATGCACAAAGTGCGTGGCCAATGTGGGCCGCAACTCATGWCTTGAGACACAGCCAACGAATTTAAAAAAATGAATTCAAGATGGCCGCCATACCGAAAACAAACAAGTTGTGATAATAGTCGTTTTTAAGAAATATGGAGTTGAAAATTGTTTTTGGTATTTGAAAGAGATCCCCATCACATGCTGAACCCAAATCAAAAAGGAAAAAGGAAAAGTTGACCATAACACAACGATTTTTAGTCACTTTGAGATGAAAGCTACAACTACAGCATCACACCTCTGCTGCTCATCTGAGTCATCTCAACTACAATCTAATTTCATTAAATCTAGATAAAGGTCCCTYTCAGCTCTGTGAGGTTTAATGCAGAGGAAAAAGCTCAGAGAAATCTCCTGAGACCTAACACCTGCCTCACACGTTCCAGGATAAAAATAAACCGAACATTCATCTTTACAGAAATGTTTTTTTTTAATCCAGCTGCATCACAAGACGAAAGGGCACAAACACACCTGAGAGCTTGGATTAGATTTACAGAGAAAGTGTTTTAAACTGCAGACAGACACTGACCCAGCTGGATGTTGCGGACCCAGACGCTCTGTTTGCTCTCCTTCAGGATCTTCTCGAAGTAAACGCCTGCAAACCCGCTGGAGCAGCAAGCCACCAGAACCGCCATGACCCCGACAAACTGGGAGCCTGCAGAGAGGGCCTCCTTCTCAGGKCCTGAGGCAGACTCAGAGGGCCACTGTGAGAGCAAGCACAAAAACAAAAAAAAGGGTTTTAATGACTTCTTTCACTCTTAGTACCTCACAGGGTGGCTTTTCTGTGACGATGGAACAAAGTTAGAATTAATTTCAGTTTCTCTCTAAGAGTCAAAGTCACAACAAACACAAAAATAAAGAGAAGTGAAACTTATTAGAAACATTGAGAAGTGAGATTATGYACTCAAAAGAATGTCCCAACACAGACGAGCTACATCTAATGGCCAGAACTCTGCAGTTTTCACTCATTTACAGGCCAGCGGTCACTCTTTCAGAGA